CAGGTTGCCCTGGCCCTGGAGCTCTACGTTTCTGATGAGCAGTCACCAGCCACATTGACCTGATCAGTGTTTGATTGTTTGTTGTGTCTTGTTGCTTTTCTTCTTTTGTCTCTCCTCTATCCACTCACCCCAACCGGTCGAGGCAGAAGGCTGCCCACCAAGAGCCGGGGTCCGTCGGAGGTTTCTTCTGTTAAAGGGAGTTTTTCCTCCCCACTGTCACCATAACAAAATAATTCTCGTTTTTATTATGCATTCACATTAAAATTTTATTTTCACTATTATGACATACTATTCTCCTTATAACGATATAGGCTACTGTATTTTCTTGTAATAACATGAGCCCTGCACAGCTTTGAGCAGTACGCTCATTCTCTTCAACACCTCCCATTTCAACTTTCCACACAATGACCAGTGTTGCACCTAGGAGGTGCACTCCAGCCGGTCCTTAAGAATCACTGATGACAGACGTAAATCCACACACATCAAAATTAGGGATGCTCCGATCCACCTTTTTTGCTTCCAATACCAATTCCGATACCTGGGATTCAGTATTGGCAATTACAGAGTACCGATCAGATACCTAAGTAAAATTTTTATAAAGTGCTGAATTACCTAATTAACTGTATGCATCCCTGTGAAATGCATTGGGCTCTACATGAACAATGTCATAACACTGTAAAAGAAAATAAACTAACAAATTATTCATTATTAAATTATTAAAGCAGAACCAGAGTGCAAAGAGTAATTTGACATCCAAAAGCAGCTGAATAACAAGAACTTCACTAGCTTGTGCTTGACTTTCAAAATTAAAGTGCAAGGAATTTCACATCCAGTGCAAAAGCAGCTGATACGAAAGTTTGTTGCATTTAGCATGGCACTTTGAGGTACAAAATGCACGTCCAACCAGTGTGCAGTTAAACTTAAAGGTGACACATTCAGAGCTGCAAATATCTGTTGTAAAACTCACCGCGTTGACATCCTTCATTTCTTCGGAGATGTGTTTGCACATTTTTCGGTAAAGTTCAGGTAGAGCAGTTTCGGATAAATATTTCCGCTTCACCATGTTGTACCGGGGTTCCAGGTGATAAGCAGTCTAAAGCCCTTGTCTCCAACGACGGAAAGCGGCTGCCCATCCAAAACAATGAAGTTCAGTATCATTTCAGTTATTTTCGCTGCTTTCACACTTTCAGGCGGAAATGACTGTGTTCTTTCCTTTGTCTCTTCCAAAGTTAGTTGCTTCGTTCCGTCTCACTTTTGTTTGTTCTGTTCATTGAACTCTGCATGCTCGTTTGGATGAAATCTCTGTAGATGCTTTATTAAATTTGTAGTGTTGTAATTCGACGTTTTACCGCCACCCCTCAGAACGTTAACCTTGCATATATTACAAACAGCGACGGGACTTACTGGCGTTTCTGTCACAAAGTATCTCCAGATCGCGGATGTTCTGCCTCGCTCCATGCTATTAGCTTGATCACATGAGGACTAAGCACACCACGTGTGCAAGATGCAACATGCTGCGCAGTCTCAGCGCAGCGTTAACTTGCATAGCAAAAGTTTTTTCTCAGATCGGGGCAGTTGTCGTCGATACCCGATCTAGAATTTTATTTCATATCGACGCCGATACCCGATACAAATATTGGCTCGGAGCATCCCTAATCAAAATAACACTCACTTCAATGCTGCTGTAACACATTTCAGTAATAGTTGGGTTGGTTGCATTTCAGGGCCAGTAATGAGATAAACAATGGCATGATGATTCCATTTGAACCAGGTGATGTCAACAGGTGACTGCGTCATGATTTGGTACAAAAGTGGCACCCAGGAAAGGCCGAACCCTTTAGGAGCAAAGATGGGCTGAGGACCACCAGTTTGACAACATATGTGTGAGAAGATTATTGAAATGTTTAAAAACAATGTTCCTCAAAGAAAGATAGGAAGGGATTTGGATCCGTCACCCTCCTTAAGACTTGCTTGCAGGAAGAATGGGACATGACACTTTACACACTGAATCACTTGGTGTCCTCGGCCCCTAAACATCTTTTAGGTGTTGTGAAAGGCAGCATCACAAGGTGGTAAACGCTTTACTGTCCAGAGTTTTGTTTGGAATATGTTGCAGCATCAGGATTGAAGTGAGTTTATTTAAGAATAAAACTGATGGTGTCACATCAAATAATGTGCTGCTGTGTTGTTTTCAATGTAAAACAGGACACAGATTTACACATCACTGTTTTAACTTTTTATTTTGATTTTACACACCATCCCAACTTTTTCTGATTTAGGTTTGGATATACAACCAACATTTTTCTGCTGCTTTATAATTGATATTGGCTAAATTAGTTTTATTGCATATCATGCAGCATAATATTCATTATCCAATTGTATGGTTGTGGAGTACTTGGCATGATTCGCCTCCAGGGGGGAACCACTGTGCAGGCTGGGAGTACATAAGGTACACAGCCAAGGTTAGCTAAAGAAAGCACTGTGTGTGTGTCTCATTTTTACACAAAATAAACTATTTGATTCCCAATGTGTTATTTATTATTTCATACAACTAGGGGGTCAATTTAACTCTTAGGGCAGAGACACGCCAAGCTGATGTGAAAGAACTAGCAATGATGAAGGCCAACCTCTGTGCCACCTCAAGTTGGATTTGTCTGGGCCAGTTGGGTTGAAAACGTGACACCTGACCACGCCGCACAGCCAACGATCGACTAGTACATACACTCTACTCCTGGGTGAGAGAAATAACTCCCCCTACCAACAGGTGGCAGTGTCTTTATCCATAAATTCAGAAAGGAAAAGAAGAAGAGCTAGAATGTGAAAGTAAATGCTGTAAACAAAACACCTGTTCAAAACAGCTGCTGTTTATAGGTGCTTATAATCGAGAATATGTCTGATAAGCTGTAAATGACTCTGCAGTTCTCTACCCTTGGTCTTTCAGTTGTGGAAGTAGAAAGGAGGACGTGTAGGTGAAAA